CAATTCGACTAACTATTCACATATTTTGTATCTTTTTTCTTGTACTTTTATGCTCATGCTATATGAACATCCATGGATAGAAAAAATCGAGACCTGTTGTATGATAAAGTTAAGGACACTCATATCAGCATAAAATGTGAATCTGGCAATTCCGATCGATGGACACAAAATATAAATTTATGAATGTAATTTTCTTTCCTTCTTCATTCCTTTTTCTTCTCAGGTTCACCTCATGAACAATGATTCTTGTGAAATAACCAAAGTCGAATTGCAAGAGTATGTAGCATGGATGTAAAAGGCAAGCACAAAAAGCAAAAATATATAGGAGATGACGATGAAGTAGCCTTCAATATTCCATACATAAGAGAATAAGCATGAAATGAAATTTTATTGATATTGGACACACGCTCACATAGTTGTAAGGCAAGGAAATATTTATCCACTATTGTATAAGAAATATTGCAAGAATTATAGTCAGAAATTATGATAATACCTCGATATGTCCGATACATACAAATCTGTACTTTTCTCCCTCTTTCCATCCATATCTCTTAACTTATATCTTCGAGTTCTAAGGAGGGATGACTTTTCTTATCAAACTTTATGATGATAGAGAAAGGAACTAAAAGTGGACACAAAAAAAAAAGAATTTTCTTCTGCCACATAAACTATTTGAAAAGGTTTATTTCTCCACTCGTTCAGTTCTCAATAGATGAGCATTAATGAAACATCCAAGAAGAATGGAAATTGAGGTAAAAGAGAATGAATGACCGAAACTTTTTCTTGCTATAGCTACTAATGTGGATGTCTATTGATCTTAATCTTTCTCATTTGTCATTGATATTTCTATAATAATTGATATTTGTGATGACTTAAAAGCTTTCTAATCATGCAGCATCATGGTAAATTGTATTACTCAGTATAAGAATCTCAGTCTAGTGAATTTGATGCTGGATGAACAAATGTGAATGTAATTAGATGTTTTAAAGGTAATTTATGGCAAGACAGAAACAAACAAACTTTTAATTACATCCAAACACAAATTTCTACATGTGGATTATCTTTTCGAAAATCGCGACTTGTTCTGCTCACAAAACTTTAAGTTTTACAAGTTCTTTGCTACTTCATAGAATCGCATACCAGAATGACAATTTAAATTAAATAATTGTAAGAGAATTAAGTTTAAAAACAGCAAGTTGCAGTTGTGAGGACAATAAACAATAATCTGTTCCTTCTGCATTGAGATTATATTCATATAATAATTATTATAATATTCTATACAGCAAGAACATTGCAACATAATCCATAAAAAATGTGGAACCTAAAAGAATTATCACTTAATTAACTGAATAAATTCATTCACAACCCCAAAAAAAGCAGAAACATCGCGATACAAAAATGCCAGAGATGAATAAAAATAATAATTGGCAAATTCTCAGAGCTTCATGTGGATAGAAATGCAGCAGAAAAAAAAATATAAAATTGGGATAGTTCAATTGCATTAACAAATGAATTTTATGAAAAAATCCAATCGAGAAAATTGCAATAAACTGCCACAATTCTTTCATGTTATATGTATGTACACAAAGGAGGAGGAACGGACGGGACGGGACGGGAATGGATAAAAACATATTTATAAATCGCTTATCAATTACGCGTGCGAAAAAATAAATAAATTTTAATCAATTTTAAAAACTTTTTTATATCCAAAAATGACATTTTCTCTCGAGAGTTGAGTGAGAGAGATAGGCAAGCAAGCACCAGTAGCAGTAGCAGCATCAGGTCTAAATTGCTTTGTGTAAAAAAATCCACGTTTGCATTTAAATTAATTTCATGCCTTTCCGCGTTTCAATAAATGCACAATTTATGTCTTTTATGGCATCAATTTGTCTGATAAACATTGCCCCGCCATAATGCTCATGCCTACCTCCTCCATCTGCTTGACAACCTATTTTTATGTTAAATATATTAATTTATAATAAAAAAAAATACAATGAAAATTATTCTCGAGATAATGAAAATGAAGCGAATGTGAAGTGCTTTAAATGGCAATTAATAAAATTCATTGTACATTGTTAATCTGGCATTTTGGAGTAGTTTAAAAGCCACAAAATTTCTCGACACTCTTCATAATCAAATTTACGTGCTTTTCTTTCCTTCCCTTTACTTGCTTGCTCGCGTATCCCTAAAATTTATTCCTCAACCTCCTTCACAACAGCAACAACACTCTCTGTGTTTCTATGCATACGCGAGATCACGACATTTGAACATTTTTGAACTTTCCCCATTCTTCCTTTAAACCAGCAAGCAGCATAGAATCTTTAAGCATGAAAATAGCAGCAATAGAACGGAAGCCACTAACAGCGAATGAACACGTATAATAAATTTAATTTTAATTAGAATGGGAAAATTAGCCCATGAAAATATGTGCACGGCACACGACAATCGTCGTCGTATTTAAAATACATAGTCATGTGAGTTTTCCTTAATATTTATGGCATTGCCAAGATAAATTTCGTCTGGATCCTTGAGGGATCCAGGATGAGTTCATAATTTCTGATAAGTGTTAATTATGATGAAGACTGAATTTCTTCCCCTTAATAAGCAGTCAGTAGTAAAAGTTGAGTCATAAAGAAAATCTATTTCTTCCACTACCACCTTGCTTGCTTGTTCGGCCAATTCTAATTTTCCAGAGTGAATGGATTTTCCTGTTTATTTGGATAAATTTTCTTTTAATAACCAACATAAATATTCAGATGAGCATAATCATAAAAAATAAAAATATGTTTATTAAAATACAACTTTTTTCATTTCTTTCCATCCAATACTTTTCCCTTTGCTCTCCATTGCCTCAAGCCTGCTTCCTTCCTTTCTTTTCGACCAACGAAAAAAAAAAAACGAATGAAATTATTATTGTTATTAAGGAAAGTTTTACACATAATCTTATGGATGCTATGCAGATAAATAGTAGCGAGTAAAAAAGAGGCGACGTTATGGATATTTGAGGATACTTTTTTCCTTCTTCTTATACTGTACCGCCAATGTTGATTACATTTTCACACTCATACATCCTTAAAGATCTTCTTATGCAATTTTATAATGAATATTGAGGCACAAATGCGAAGATGGGGAACTGAAATTATTAAAATTTGTGGATATTTCATTCAGCACTAGCAACAAAAACTTCTTTGCTGCATCCCCAATATGCGATTATTCGTTGTGCATCTTACAAATTAGCATTATCATCTGTGCTTCTTACTTCTGCACTATTTGTAATGGAATCATAGCCATTTTTTATAAATAAATAGAAGTTCCTTTTTTTTGTTCCTTCTTATTTCTCCCATTACATTAATATCAAGAAATATTTGTTGCCATTAGTTATCAACAATTTTCATTAGTCGCAGTACTTCCTCTACACTCATTTTGTGATCATCTTTTAAGCTTTTACATTATGCAGCATAGCGAAATTTGCATTCAGGTACCATTTTTAAGTACACCAAATATTTATTGCAACTCCATCGTGACCAAAACTTATTGCCATTAGACTAACGGTGTCGACAAACTAATAGCTAAGCAGAACAAGTAGAAGAAGTCCAATTAATTATCATAGAAAATGCACATTTTGAGCTTAAACTTATCGAATAAATTAATTATTTTGAATTATGTCCTTTAAATTCTGCCCTGTGCTGCATATTTGATTTCTTTCAGCGATCATTATTGTTAAGAAATAAGATTACAGGTGGATGTGAATGTGGGGAGAAAATTCATTGCATAGTCGTGGTGAAGACGACAAGGCATTAAAAGGGATAATGTTTGCAGGCACAGGGCAAATAATGAGTGAAAAAGTTTATTTTTATCGCATTAAAAACTTCATGAATTTTTCAGAAAAAGAAATAAGCAGTAAGGAAGAAGAAGTAAGTGAGAGAATATGCTCACCGCCACTTTTTATATGAAATAAAAAAAAGGCAAAACAGAAAGAAGTACTTAAGAGTGCAGGGCTCATTAAACTGCCGCGAAATGAAACATTTCCCATGCCGAAAATTTTCTCGCCTCGTTCATTTGCTCACAAAATTTATGACTCAAATGCTGTCTTTTTGTGTGTGCGGTGCTACTTGGGAAGTTGAAATAAATATCAAGCAATGAATTGTCTTCTTTTAATTGTTATTTCTACTACAGGTATGGAGGAAATTTTTATCAGTAATGACTCAAACAAATCAAAAGTACTTCCATTTTAAAAGCAATAAATCTTACAATTTTTTGTTCTCCTTCAAACTCTTTCTTTCGAATCTTTTTGGAAATTTATGTTTATCAGCTTTCCTACACTTTTTATGTTTTGTCTCATTCTACATTTATGTAAATGGCAAAGAATGTTTGAATTTATGCTGGACGAAAGCGCATTTTTCGATTGGATGTGCTGCATATTTTGATTGTCACTTTTAGGGACACGATTTTGATGCTTTTATGAACTTTTAATTGAATATTTAGTAAACAGGAATCAATTTGAGATTTCCAGTTTATTTATCTTACAATTATGCTATTGAAGATTGATTAGAAGCTTGACAAAATTTTAACTTAAACTATCAATCTGATCAGAACCGAAGAAACTAATGCGGACTAAGATTTACACAGCTTTAGAGCAATATTAAGGCCTTTAACAAAAACTGAGATAGTCTCAAGCGCAATACTATAAAGTTTAGGAACCAATAAAATTCTTCCAAGTCATAACAAGCAGACAAATCAAAACCTAAAGCTCATTAATATCCAAAATTCACAAAATGTGCCAAAAAAGAAGACAAAAGATTTAAATAAATGGCAAGAATGTTTGATTTTACTTCTCCATCTTTTCATATCTTCCTCATTGTCGTAAATTTTAGTCTTCATATTTATGTTGTGTGCGCAGTGTAATGGGTAGGTGAGGTGGGGTGCTAAACATTTAGAAATGATAATGCTACATATAAAAAAATTTATTTCTCTTTTATTTATTTATGGTGTTATCAAAAATGTGACATAGGCAAAAAAGCCTTAAATTAAGGCAATTATGATTTATTGCCATTTCTTGTTTTTCACCATACCTTTTAAATATTTTTTTTTTGTTCATTCGCTCTTATTCATTACCACAACCTTGTCATTTCAATTTATGACTCTCATTTTCCATTTTCATAAATCGCATTTCCATTTTTTTATTGTTTTTATTTGGATAAATTTCAGTAAATAATAACAATTCATTAATGTTTAACACGCTGTCGTGTTGGTTCTTCAGTTTCAATTTCATATTCAACCTTAACTTGTGCCTTTTTCGGTTTCTTCTTTGTTGCTTTCTTCGGCGCTCGAACAAATTTGCCACCACTCGATTCCTCGTTGTCTTTTGAGGCAAGTAACTTAGATGGTGCTTCCTGTTATTCAAAAGAATAAGGAATACTTCCAAAACACTCAAAACTAGCAAATAAACCCAACAACAACTCACCTCAATATCCTCATCGTCAGAAGACTCAAAATCACTATCCACTTCTACTTCTTCCTTATCGCCTGCCATACTTTCATCGTCAGATTCATTCGCATCATCACTATCAGCTTCTACAAACGTTTCCAGGTCTCTTTCTAAAGCATTTCTTAAATTTTCATCCTCAATTTCCAATTCACGATCAGATTCATCCTCGTCTTCCTGTTCTTGGTCTTCATCTTCGATTGTTTCAGCATTAATTGCTTTTTCGAATGCTTTTTGATGGAAATTGTAAATATCCTCGTAAGTTCCTTTCTGTAAGCGTTCTAATAATTGTTTCTCGATGGAATTTTCTATTCTTGCAGCAATCAATGCCTTATGTTCACGTCGTTTTTCACGTCTTTCAATTTTTGATGATAAAGGTACGAGAAGTTTTTGACGGCGTAATTTGAGCTTTCTCATACGAATTAAGTATTGTGTGATTTTAAGGAAACGCTGTTTACATTTCAGACGTATGAATCGATTCCAATAAAGCAAGTTCTCATTTATTTGATGAACTGCCTTGTCAAAATTCCTGCTCAACTTTACTTTTTCCCATAGTTTATTTGGGAATGCAAATCTTTCAGCTGTTTTCATATACAAATAAATGATTCCATTTTCTTCTCTAATTGTTGCATACTGACTGTTAGCAAGTGGACATGATGCTCTTGAGCATAAACCAGTTAAATTGAATTCATTTCGGCAGAAATTCTGTGTCTTGCTTGCAGAACTGTTAGAAAAATTAAATTAATGACAATATTCTATAAAATTGAGTATGTTTACTTACGGTGTTTTATGAGAACAAAAGCTTTGGTTGATAATCGACCAAACAACATCGTCGTGCTGCATTTTCACTATTTAATTAATTAAATTTTAATTTTTTGAATGTAGCTGTTGATTTTCACGTGTTTCAACAATATTTTTAAAAGTAACATGACCCGCGTAAAGGGGAAAGCTGAAACGATTTGAATTTGAAACGACGGTTGGTAGATTTTTTTTTGTTTGATGCATGCTTTATGATAAATTAATAAAATTTATCTTCCTATTGTATTTATTTATAACTCATAACATTTGATTGATCAAATTGATTAATAAAACATGACTATCGATAAAAATTTTCTCCATACCTGTAGTAGAAATAACAATTAAAAGAAGAAAATTCATTACTTGATATTTATTTCAACTTCCAAAGTAGCACCGCACACACAAAAAGACAGCATTTGAGTCATAAATTTTGTGAGCAAATGAACGAGGCGAGAAAATTTTCGGCATGGGAAATGTTTCATTTCGCGGCAGTTTAATGAGCCCTGCACTCTTAAGTACTTCTTTCTGTTTTGCCTTTTTTTTATTTCATATAAAAAGTGGCGGTGAGCATATTCTCTCACTTACTTCTTCTTCCTTACTGCTTATTTCTTTTTCTGAAAAATTCATGAAGTTTTTAATGCGATAAAAATAAACTTTTTCACTCATTATTTGCCCTGTGCCTGCAAACATTATCCCTTTTAATGCCTTGTCGTCTTCACCACGACTATGCAATGAATTTTCTCCCCACATTCACATCCACCTGTAATCTTATTTCTTAACAATAATGATCGCTGAAAGAAATCAAATATGCAGCACAGGGCAGAATTTAAAGGACATAATTCAAAATAATTAATTTATTCGATAAGTTTAAGCTCAAAATGTGCATTTTCTATGATAATTAATTGGACTTCTTCTACTTGTTCTGCTTAGCTATTAGTTTGTCGACACCGTTAGTCTAATGGCAATAAGTTTTGGTCACGATGGAGTTGCAATAAATATTTGGTGTACTTAAAAATGGTACCTGAATGCAAATTTCGCTATGCTGCATAATGTAAAAGCTTAAAAGATGATCACAAAATGAGTGTAGAGGAAGTACTGCGACTAATGAAAATTGTTGATAACTAATGGCAACAAATATTTCTTGATATTAATGTAATGGGAGAAATAAGAAGGAACAAAAAAAAGGAACTTCTATTTATTTATAAAAAATGGCTATGATTCCATTACAAATAGTGCAGAAGTAAGAAGCACAGATGATAATGCTAATTTGTAAGATGCACAACGAATAATCGCATATTGGGGATGCAGCAAAGAAGTTTTTGTTGCTAGTGCTGAATGAAATATCCACAAATTTTAATAATTTCAGTTCCCCATCTTCGCATTTGTGCCTCAATATTCATTATAAAATTGCATAAGAAGATCTTTAAGGATGTATGAGTGTGAAAATGTAATCAACATTGGCGGTACAGTATAAGATGAAGGAAAAAAGTATCCTCAAATATCCATAACGTCGCCTCTTTTTTACTCGCTACTATTTATCTGCATAGCATCCATAAGATTATGTGTAAAACTTTCCTTAATAACAATAATAATTTCATTCGTTTTTTTTTTTTCGTTGGTCGAAAAGAAAGGAAGGAAGCAGGCTTGAGGCAATGGAGAGCAAAGGGAAAAGTATTGGATGGAAAGAAATGAAAAAAGTTGTATTTTAATAAACATATTTTTATTTTTTATGATTATGCTCATCTGAATATTTATGTTGGTTATTAAAAGAAAATTTATCCAAATAAACAGGAAAATCCATTCACTCTGGAAAATTAGAATTGGCCGAACAAGCAAGCAAGGTGGTAGTGGAAGAAATAGATTTTCTTTATGACTCAACTTTTACTACTGACTGCTTATTAAGGGGAAGAAATTCAGTCTTCATCATAATTAACACTTATCAGAAATTATGAACTCATCCTGGATCCCTCAAGGATCCAGACGAAATTTATCTCGGCAATGCCATAAATATTAAGGAAAACTCACATGACTATATATTTTAAATACGACGACGATTGTCGTGTGCCGTGCACATATTTTCATGGGCTAATTTTCCCATTCTAATTAAAATTAAATTTATTATACGTGTTCATTCGCTGTTAGTGGCTTCCGTTCTATTGCTGCTATTTTCATGCTTAAAGATTCTATGCTGCTTGCTGGTTTAAAGGAAGAATGGGGAAAGTTCAAAAATGTTCAAATGTCGTGATCTCGCGTATGCATAGAAACACAGAGAGTGTTGTTGCTGTTGTGAAGGAGGTTGAGGAATAAATTTTAGGGATACGCGAGCAAGCAAGTAAAGGGAAGGAAAGAAAAGCACGTAAATTTGATTATGAAGAGTGTCGAGAAATTTTGTGGCTTTTAAACTACTCCAAAATGCCAGATTAACAATGTACAATGAATTTTATTAATTGCCATTTAAAGCACTTCACATTCGCTTCATTTTCATTATCTCGAGAATAATTTTCATTGTATTTTTTTATTATAAATTAATATATTTAACATAAAAATAGGTTGTCAAGCAGATGGAGGAGGTAAGCATGAGCATTATGGCGGGGCAATGTTTATCAGACAAATTGATGCCATAAAAGACATAAATTGTGCATTTATTGAAACGCGGAAAGGCATGAAATTAATTTAAATGCAAACGTGGATTTTTTTTACACAAAGCAATTTAGACCTGATGCTGCTACTGCTACTGGTGCTTGCTTGCCTGTCTCTCTCACTCAACTCTCGAGAGAAAATGTCATTTTTGGATATAAAAAAGTTTTTAAAATTGATTAAAATTTATTTATTTTTTCGCACGCGTAATTGATAAGCGATTTATAAATATGTTTTTATCCATTCCCGTCCCGTCCCGTCCGTTCCTCCTCCTTTGTGTACATACATATAACATGAAAGAATTGTGGCAGTTTATTGCAATTTTCTCGATTGGATTTTTTCATAAAATTCATTTGTTAATGCAATTGAACTATCCCAATTTTATATTTTTTTTATGCTGCATTTCTATCCACATGAAGCTCTGAGAATTTGCCAATTATTATTTTTATTCATCTCTGGCATTTTTGTATCGCGATGTTTCTGCTTTTTTCGGGTTGTGAATGAATTTATTCAGTTAATTAAGTGATAATTCTTTTAGGTTCCACATTTTTTATGGATTATGTTGCAATGTTCTTGCTGTATAGAATATTATAATAATTATTATATGAATATAATCTCAATGCAGAAGTAACAGATTATTGTTTATTGTCCTCACAACTGCAACTTGCTTGCTTTCTTGTTGTTTTTAAACTTAATTCTCTTACAATTATTTAATTTAAATTGTCATTCTGGTATGCGATTCTATGAAGTAGCAAAGAACATGTAAAACTAAAAGTTTTGTGAGCAGAACAAGTCGCGATTTTCGAAAAGATAATCCACATGTAGAAATTTGTGTTTGGATGTAATTAAAAGTTTGTTTGTTTCTGTCTTGCCATAAATTACCTTTAAAACATCTAATTACATTCACATTTCTTCATTCAGCATCAAATTCACTAGACTGAGATTCTTATACTGAGTAATACAATTTACCATAATGCTGCATGATTAGAAAGCTTTTAAGTCATCACAAATATCAATTATTGTAGAAATATCAATGACAAATGAGAAAGATTAAGATCAATAGACATCCACATTAGTAGCTATAACAAGAAAAAGTTTCGGTCATTCATTCTCTTTTACCTCAATTTCCATTCTTCTTGAATGTTTCTTTAATGCTCATCTATTGAGAACTGAACGAGTGGAGAAATAAACCTTTTCAAATAGTTTATGTGGCAGAAGAATTTTCTTTTTTTTTTGTGTCCACTTTAAGTTCCTTTCTCTATCATCATAAAGTTTGATAAGAAAAGTCATCCCTCCTTAGAACTCGAAGATATAAGTTAAGAGATATGGATGGAAAGAGGGAAAAAAGTACAGATTTGTATGTATCGGACATATCGAGGTATTATCATAATTTCTGACTATAATTCTTGCAATATTTCTTATACAATAGTGGATAAATATTTCCTTGCCTTACAACTATGTGAGCGTGTGTCCAATATCAATAAAATTTCATTTCATGCTTATTCTCTTATGTATGGAATATTGAAGGCTACTTCATCGTCATCTCCTATATTTTTTTGCTTTTTGTGCTTGCCTTTTACATCCATGCTACTTACTCTTGCAATTCGACTTTGGTTATTTCACAAGAATCATTGTTCATGAGGTGAACCTGAGAAGAAAAAGGAATGAAGAAGGAAAGAAAATTACATTCATAAATTTATATTTTGTGTCCATCGATCGGAATTGCCAGATTCACATTTTATGCTGATATGAGTGTCCTTAACTTTATCAGACAACAGGTCTCGATTCTTTCTATTCATGGATGTTCATATAGCATGAGCATAAAGTACAAGAAAAAAGATACAAAATATGTGAATAGTTAGTTGAATTGGAATCAGAATAATCCCGTCCATTAATAAAATTTATAAAATAAAAAAGAAAGAGAACTGGATGTGGGTAGAAGAAGGACAAAAAGCAAGAAAATGTAATCGATTTGTGAGTTAAACTCTTTCCATTTATGATAACAGAGTACAGAGTGGACTATTGTACATGAGAAGTAAAAGCAATACAGCATAGCAGAGATGAGAGAAAGGAAATCGAAGAAGATAAGAAATTTGAAAGTTATGATGACAGTATTTAATTTACTTTTTTATCCTTTTGCTTCCTCCCTTACTCATTTCTTTCTTGCAGAGCATACATACTTCATGTTCATGTTCCATTCATGTGATTTCAAGATTTTATCGGATCCTTCGAGTGCTGTACATTTTTATTTCTTTTTGCTGTACTTTTGAGGACATGACTAGGTGAGATTATTTCGCAGGATGTTTTTTTTAATGAAATTTGTGAATATTGACATAATTGTTAAAGGATCAGCATCTGTTTAGTCATCCAACTGTTGGATGGACTTGATCCATTTAAGGAAACTTTAATTTTTGATTTAAGATTATGAGCTTTATTTAAAATTTAATAATTAGCTTGATAAATAATTCAATAAAGCTTAGTTCCAGTACTAGGATTGACCTTTTGAATTTGAATCC